TATATTATTTTGTTTTAAAATATAAAATAGCNTTTTCTTTTTTTAAATCAGCAGTGGGGACAAGTGAGGGAATGACATATTGGTATATTTTAATTACCTAAAATAAATAAAAAATAAAATTTCATAATTTTATTTTTATTCTTTTGCTAGCTTGCCTTCGGAAGGACACTTTCCCTGAATTTTTTTTTTTCGTAAGCTGTAAAACAAACATAAAATATACTGGGGACATGAAAATGACTGTTTTTGTGAGAATGACCCATATATTAAAATACTAGATAGACTTCTGGTCTGGAGGGCCACTGACAACTACATAATGGTTGCCCTTATCAAATTTTAGCGATCCCGGACCAATGGCCCTAATTTTGTAGCTCAGCATTTAACTCTAGATAATGAAAAATTGATCGAAAATTTTTAAATTGATAGAAGAAAACGCATTTCTAAACAGTTGTAAAGAAGAAAAGAGAAAGTTTTAAGTTTTTAAAAAATTATACACAAGCAACTTTTGCAAGCAATACTTCAAACTAAAAGTAACAGAGAATTAATAATTTCCTAATCTCCGTTCTATTAATTAAATAGATAGATTCACCTCAAGTAATGTTTTAAATATTAAAAGGCCGAAATAAAAAAGCAAAAATTACCTAAACGTACTATTGTTTCCTATTATATATATATAGTGAACAAAAAAAAATATCACAGTAAATATCTTTCTATTAAGGCTGTTTTTCGAAGTCTGATGCAATATGAAATAATGCTTTTTTTGCGAATAATATGCTATTTTTACAATTAGTGTGAGTTTGCAACTGTTTCTCATGGCCGTAAGGTCAAGTTTAGCCTATCAAAAACCAGCGTTGTCTACGCTTATTTTGAAAATGGCGCAAAACGGAGATGTGCTACAGGAGATAATATGGAGAAAGGACACAGTTCTGTGAAAATAAAAAGCGTTTGTGGTCTAATTTTTTGAATATTTGAAAACTTACTCCAATGATTGCTTGGCCACATAAAAATTTGCAAGAACTGAGAATAAAGCTGTGATTTTGATAATTTTCTTCCAGCTGGAGAAATGCCGCCAAATTGGCAATTTTTTTAAAAAAAGTTTAATAACTTTTAAAATATTTAAATTATTTGTCTGTTCAGAAATCCACATAATTCTTCACGGCAAGATTTAACATACAGTTTAAAATCATCGCATTGCTTCAAGTGAAAGGCACTTAATCTAAGGCTTTTTTTTTACTTCTTGGTGACAGAGCATCGAAAAGCAGCATTAACACTAGAAACACTGACTTTAGATGCATACCTAGAAAGTCTGAAAGGGGGCTTCAGTCTGTTTGTTCCTAAATTGTCGTTGTGTAGATGAATTAGACATCCAGTATCTTAAATTATAATCGAAATTAATTAAATAAGAAATATACTACAGACTCGGTCATCAAAATTTTATGGTATTTTATTCGATTTGATTAAGGAAAATGTTCGATTAAACGAAACACTGACTTTTCAATTATATTTAAATATTAGTATCTTAGATAGTTGAGTTTCCCTTTCTGTGTAAATAATAATTGAATATGTTTTAATGAATCTGGGGTATTTTATACTTACTAAAGGTTATTTTATACCTAAGGATACATGGGGATATGGGTTACATACCAAAATAAGTTGACCACTATGGCCCCTCCCGTCATTCTAGATATAAGGTTCTATATTAATTATATCTAATATATGAATCTACGATATGATCCTATAAGGTTATCGCGCAGTAATTAAGAAGGCATTTAAATTGGTTCAAATTATGTAAAGTCAGAAATACTCAATACTTTTAGTAAGCTATTATTTGAATTACAGAGCAATAAAAAAAACGAAAGGGACTAAAATGTTTTTTGTCGTCTTTCTAGTGTGATCGGATTTTTTGCACTAAGATAAAAGCCTAATTTCACTGCAAAAAAAAGTATGGTCGAAACTCCAGAATATGGTAATACTTACCATGTTGGTTCTATGAAAACACCTATACCTATAAGCTCGGTAATTTTTATTGGAGCGCTTTGCTAATGATTTTGGTAAAATTATGAAAAAAATATGGTTTTATTATATAAGATAAAATTTGATAACTATAGTAAAATTTGTTAATTTTATGATGATACCGTAGAACATAGCATTTCTCTTAGCGCAAAAAAGAAATACGAGGTGAAATCGTTGTTTAAAATACGCAACACATGTATAAAATATTCTACTAAGGCAAAGTTCAAAATTAAAGAATGAAAATAAGAGTGGCCTTATACTTGCGAATGTAATTGTAAACAAAAATAAAATGATGTTTAATAGCCTTACAAATGAGATGTTCAAAATTTCAAACGTGTTTTAGCCAGACAAACGGATATGATGGGTAACATTAAAGTGAAAGAACCTTGAGATTCTTTTCTTAAACAGCAAGATAATCCGGTGTCTCAGTGTTAAAAGGAAATGCGAAGTTTCATCTTCAGCAGCAACAGGTTTCATCAATGTTTTCACTCTTAGTTTTTATTTTTATTTCATAAAAGAAGAAATGCAGATAACTTTCACTTTCAACATCTTGCACTTGAAGATGCAATTTAGAAACTAAAGCTCTACGCCATTTTATAATATATGCGAGAAATTCAGTATTCAGAACTTCGAAGAGAGAGAATGTTGTTCTGGTGATTTATTCCGAAGGACCCGCTTATAAAAAAGGAGAAAAACTGGGCGATTTAAAAAAAAAAAAACCCCACTTAACCCACTCTACCACCAAATAAAAACGCCTAGCAATTTCGTAATCTATTTGTTTTTGTAATTTCTTTAATAAATTAAGAGGTGATCAAAACATTATGGATTAAGAAAAATTAAATTATTTTAATTAAAGGACTTAACACAAACATTTGTCAGAATTCAATATAAAGAGGTGTGCAGATCCATATGGTTTTCAATAAGGTATATATCCAGATTTATCCATATGGTATATAAAGAAATTACGGTAAATAGACAAATAGCGTAAGTTAAAAACCTTGGTAAGTTAAAAAGTAAGTTAAAGTTCTTGGATCACTTTCAACTTCGCAAAACAAAAAAAAATTTAACACCCATTTCGAAAAAAATATAATAGAAATAAAATAATAAATAAACATTAATTAATGTTTTACTCCCATTTTTAATATTTTTGTTGTAGTGCACTAATATACCATTCAAATTTTTAAAAAAAATATCAAATGATAATATATGTATGGGCTTTAATTACACTGCTTTAGATCAAAATATATGTATGTAAAATTTTTAAGGGTTAACATAAAAATAAATCTAATCTATCACTTAGTTAAAACTAAATACGTAACCAAAGATTATTTTTCAATGTATAATAAAATATGATATAATATAATAAAATACTGTTTATAAAAAATAATCAGGTTAACATGCAACCCATTACCTGTGTTTTATAGTACAGAAAATTGTGTGAAAAACTTATTTCGAAATCAAATCAGAGAATATATTTTAAAATAATAAGATCCAAAGTTAATTTATATTTAAGTTAATTACATTTTCTTATATAATAAAGGGATATTTCAAATCCCTTTGAATTATCAAAGGAAGAAATACATAAATTATCGGTAGAATTATTTTTTTTACGTCTCATTAAAATCGCAGTCTCTTTTCTCTCTAGGGTGGTAACACTAATTCATCTGTAATAATTCATTTTGTTAGTTGCCTTAATTAAAAAGGTTGCTTTCATTTAAGAAGTGTTAAATATCTAATTTTTCATTAAGCATTAATTTACATTCATTTATCAGGTAGTCTTTGGTGATAGTTTAAGTAGTGCTGAATATAGTTAGTTAAACGTTGAAGTTTTTAGTAAGTAAAATTTTTAGTTACTTAAACGTTTCCGCTGCCTAATGAAGCATTTTCCAAACTCATGGCACCACGTGGTTTGTGAGATTTAATGGCTGTCAGATTGATTATACATTATTACAAAACTTCAAATTTTTTTTATTATTTTATTATTTAAATCTTTTAACATCAATGTAAATAGTATAATTAATTAACGGTAAAAATGCCACTATGGTAATAACGGTAAATATTTTTCTCAATATTAAAAATGAGGCGTATTGTACATCGAAAATTTGAGCTTTGGATTTACAGTGGTATAATAACTGCAAGCCATCTGAAAAGTTTTGACAATGTTCTGCTTAATGTACATTTACCTTAAATTTTTCATCAGAAATAATCTTTATAAACAAAAGGCGAATGAAAGCTTTATAGAAGTTTAAAACCAACCGTATAAATACATGGTTCTATATCTGCCTTTAATATTCAAACTTGGTCTGTTATATTATATACTCTACTACCAAACCAAAGGAATTATTATAGACAAATTAAGGTGCCCACAGCGTGGTACAATATTTAAGTAAGTATATATATAGATTTCAAAGTACGTGTAGTATGTAATATGGGTGTAGAAAGAAGTATGCAAGTCAGGGATAATAACCGCAAGCCGTATGATAAGTTTTGACAATATGTCGCTCAATGGAAATTTATCTTACATTTTTCCTTAGAAATAAAATTTATACACATATATGTGAATGAAAGTTAGAAAAAATAAAAATTTAAAACCAAAAACTGAATAAAAATTATTATTTAAAAAGTATTAAAAAGCACTAAAAAAGCAGCTATTAAAAAGAACCCGCTTGATATCAGTTTTGTTTATGAAAAGCCCGGGTAATTTAAAATAATGCTAGACAGAGTTGTTCTGATGCAAATTTGTTAAGGCATTTAAAGGGTTAAACAATAGTATTTTAGCATCCTCGTTCTTTACCGTACTCTGAAAACAGGTCAATAAACAATAGCGTATATGATTGGAGTTACATATCTAGTTACAATTAGATAACATATGTTGCTAGAGAAAATTAAACGTATCGATTAATTTTAACCGTGAATTCCACACGCTTTGTCTTATGTAATTTAAAAAACCTTATTATTTTTTTAAAAAAAGAAAGCAAATGAGCACTTACTTTGTGTGGGTGGATAACTAACAAAGCGTCTGTGGAAAGCGGGCAATCCAACCGAAAATAAACAACCCTTCCCGATAAAAATTCTCAGCATCCAGAGCACTGAGAAGCTACAGACGAGAATTCTCTTCTCTACTGTCCTTGGCGCTTTCACCACTCCCTTCCTCCTCCCAGAAACATTCGAACCATTCTCTTGCTTTAACGCGAAAGTCGGCTGCCTCAACAGGAGTAGGGGAAAAAACTGATTAGTATTCGTTTTTGATCGTCAGACTTCAGAACATCTAACGAATAGAGTGGCAAAAAAAAAAAAAATGTTTTTATTTTCGAAGACTATAAATTGAAAGCAGACCTATTCGTTTTCTACGAGACTGATAGACTTGTTAGAAGATAACGTCATCCCTTTAATAATATTTCTTTCAAGGTTGAGTATTGTGTGATTGCAGCTGTAATTACAATTATATTTTTCCTCCTTTTGGTCTCCTTTTTTTATTTATGTAAGCGAAGCCAAAAGAAGTGTCAAACCTTTCTTTTATGTATAAAAATGGCATTTAATATCGTATTGATACATATTTGTTCTTAAATTAAAGATCAAAGGAACTTAACGTGTTTCAGGACTTGGATGTTGATGCAAACAATATTTGATAATTTATTATAATTAATTAATTAAATCATAAAATGTCTAATAATTGACTTTTGAATCGAAAAGGCATCTATAATTGATGTCACGCTTTGAGGGGAGGAAGGGGGTTATTGAAATTTGAGATTTAGTAACAAGGGGGAGGAGAAGATAACAAGAAATGTGACACATGACAAAATAGAAATATTTAAAGCAGCAGATTGAATATTTAATATTGCTTATTTCATATATCTTTTATTCATCTTTTTAATTACAAAAGCTGATTTGTGGTGACTCATGGAATAGAGCGTTCGTCTTCTAATGAGGTGAACCGGGTTCGAATCCCAGAGATGGCTGTTCGATATAAATTCCTCCCCCGGCTGACGTAAAATATCTTCAGTGATACACGGATCATAGGTTAGAGTCCCCTTGGTGTCAAACTAACCTTAGGAGGTGTTCGTGTTTTTCCTCTTCAACGAAAATACGGTCTCCACGAAGGCAAATTTCTCTCAATACTTGATAAAGTCCTCTAGATTGTGTTCAAAATTTCAAGGCTAAGGAGTTGAACATTATTAGTCGTAAACCCTAAATTGGGCCGACTGTTCAACGACGGTTATAAAAATTAATTAACGTTGGTTAAAAATCACAACCACGGTTAAAAATCACAAAAGCTCACATAGAGTCTTATTTATGTTTGGTCACTAATGCTTTAAAAACACTTTTTTAAAATTTAAACAATTTTAAATTTAAATACTTTTAAATTTAAATACTTTTAAATTTAAAACACTTTTTAAATTTAAAACTTACTTAAAAAATTGTTATAGTATTTAAAAAATATTATTTAAAATATAATAATATAAATAATAAAATAAAAATATAATTTAATATGGCACATTATGCATTTTATTTCTAAACTGACAATATATGTTTATGTAATATAATGTGACATGTTTAATTCAATGTGACAAGAGAGCGTCAAGTGTGAGAGTGTCATAGGGAAGGAGAAGGACAAAATATTGAGTGTGACATCACTTATAGACTGCTTCTTAATGAATTAACCTCAATGAATTATTATTTAGTGGTGAATATGTACAGATTAGGAAAACATATATTTAATTAAAATATGTTTAGTAATTAAACTATCAAGAGGACGCTTTACTGAAGAAGAAACTTTTCACTGTGAATTCTATTTTACCTTCATGGGTTATTTAAAATATCAAGTACACTGTAATTCTAGATCAAATTACGGTAAAAAGTTTTGATACTTAGGGTACATTTTACCGTGAAATCCATTTTAACCAAAACATGTTATGGAACAAAAAAAATCAGATACACAGTACATTTTCACAGTAATAATTACCGGAAAATCACTGAATCACTCTAATTAATTAAATGTTAATGTGAAAATTATGGTATATTATTTTACGGATGATATATCTTAAGTATCTGTACTTTATACCGTAATTTGATCTAGAATTTTTGACAGTGTATATATAAATATGAATTCAGGTGAACCTAGAATAAACCATAAAGTTTCAAATGTTGAAAAAATGTCTTCAAAATGTTAATAAATTATGGCAGGATTACGCAGTGGAGAAGTAATTCTGCAATAATTAATTTGCATTTTAATATTTTAACGACATTTTTTAAACGTGTGAAACTCCATGGTAAACTCTAGATTTGTCTAAACTCATATTTTTCTTACGTAATATTTTAAAGTATTTTTCTGAGGTAAAACAGAATTTGAAATTAAGAGTGAAAATAAAAAAAAAAAATCTTTCAAAATCAAACTAACAAAAAGAATCGAAGATACTCTTCTAAATAAGAGCTCCAATTTAAAGCAACCCTTACTTTCTCGCCAACGGCAGATGTCTTGCCAAAAGTAGCAGCCGCATAAATTATAAGCTCTGTTTCTTTCATGAAGGAAAGCGCGGAAAATGACTGACGACGAGATGGTGAATAATTTTATTAAGTAATGTTTTAAGAACGATTTTATTATTTTAGTCGTGAATAAAATGGATGGATATTTTCTAATTGTCTGCTTTGACGTCACAGTTAACAAACTGAATTAAAATTGTGGAAGCAAGCAAGATAGTTATTTAAATTTTTTTATTGATTATCAATCACTGTTTCAAATTTGCAACGTTTATTAAAATCAATTGGTAAGCAAACTAAGATAAAATTTAATTTATCCAAAGAGCAGAGGTAAAAATAATAGCTTGTTTATAAGCGTTTTATAGACATTTAAAAGCAACAAATTGAAATTTGTTACATCTACGTTTTTCAAGTTGGCTAAAATAGGAAACATTTTAAATTTTTTCTGAGATCTAAAGTTGAGAACCGATACCCATTTTAGTTTTTTCGAGTTCCAACTTAAAAGTGGTAGAAATTTCGATAAATAGAGTGGCAATGTCGCTATTAATTTTGATCGTATATATTAATTAAAAAACAGCATTGCCGATCGGCCTGTGTAGGGGGTAGGGAACTGTCCTTGCATCAGAAAGGTCCTGGGTTCGAATCCCGGTCAAGGTATGGATGTTTCTTTCTCTGCGTTCTATGTCCTTTCTCCTTTGTGTGTGAATGTGACCCGCCCTATAGACGGGCTGTGGTTGTGTGAATGGCGTGGCAGAAGTCGAATTCCTGGCCATAGATGGCGTCACTGAAAAACAAGAACAATCGCTCCCCCACTGCCTAAACAGGCATACGGCAAAAAAAAACCAGTAATAAAATAGATTAGTATCAAGCACTAGTTGAAATTTTGAGCACGATAGTTTGTTGGAAAGTGATCGCAATTTCGATGGACATTAAGTTCTCGTAGATGTTGAAATAGTTAGAAAAATTTTGTTTCTGGCTGTTCAGAAAACGATTGATACTTGTATTGTCAACCAACTCAGAGCTCCAATAAAAATTTAAACACACTAACAAGTCAGTGCCGGAATAAGCGTGCTCGGGGCCCATAGATTAAATTTTTTTTCACGTATCTTTTTTATTTATTCAAATATAAAAGTAATTGTATATCTTTTCATTTAAGACAGCCTATTTAAAATAAAAATAAATAATAATAAAATAAATGTTACTTTATTTTGTTAAATTTTGTAATTATTTATAGATCAAAAAGAATTATGGACGCGGACACTAAACAAGTATAAAACACTAAAAAAATTACGAGACACTTCAGTCAAGGCACTAAAAAACTTTTTCATTTAAAACGTCTCAATAATATCAACAACATTGAATTCTTTGCTTCTTGTTTAAACAAGTCTCAGCTTGCTATAGTACTGCCTTCAATTTTTTCACTATCAAATCAATATGACAAATTTGAACTTAAAAAACATTGATAAATCTTATAATACATAAACTATAATAGTACTTATAAATAATAACTAAAGTAAGTAATAAATAAATATAATTAACATTTTGTAAAAAATTATCGTATTTTATTAATATATATTAGAAATTATTATTTTTTTAAAAATCCTTCTCTTTCTTAATTTTTTAAAATTTATTTTCAAAAAATCCATTTAAAGGGGGCCCTAAATCATTGAGGGCCCCAGGCCATGGCCTAGTCTGGCCTAATGGGTATCCCGGCACTGTAACAAGTCAAAATAATATTCAATATCGATTAATTCCAGAAGAGATAATAAAGACAAATTCTACTTGAGGTGGTCAGAAAAAGATTAAAACTTATATTGTTCTCGGTCACAGAGCTGCAGTTGAAAGTAGAGTACGTAAGTTATTCGGAAAGTGATCGAAAATTTGGATGAACGAAAATTTCGATTTGGTGATTGTTAAATCCTGTTGTTATAATGCCTCTTAGAGCTCTGGGCGGATGCCCTCTCTCGATTGTTCTGAATACTAAAAGTCAATTTTTAGTTCAATGGTAACACTGAGATGTCTGTATAACTGCGGTTAAGCAATTTCAAATACAAGCCATTTTTGTTTCAACCAATCAACTCTATTGTTTAATAAAGATGCGGGTGCTATCTGATCAATTTTTTTCATTGAGATTTTTATTCAGTATTATTTTTTTTGCGTCTCTCATTTTTATTTGAATATATTTAAATCGAAACTCAGGAAGACGATTAAGGTTAAGCAAAGGAATCGCATTGCGTGAAAATAGGGTTGCCAGGGAAGGAACAGAAATAGGTGCTATTGTTCCATTGGCGAAATTTAATTATGGAGAGAACTAAATGATGTCTGAATTAGAAAGGTGCCACCCGCACCAGGGCTAAAGAGAATACAAGGGCTAGTTCACTCCGCTCTTAGAGCTGAAGCTACGATCGCTCTTAACCTAAAAGATAAAAAGAAACATTCATTTTTATTAAATGGATGTCCAATATATATTTTTTTTATTAATAAAAGTAGAGAGAACGAAACAAACGTTAAAGTTTATATCGGCGGTAAATTGATAATGACTTTAATACGAGATATGTGTTTTTTCTTATTTCGAGTTAATTGTCTCGAATATTCTGAATTACATCAGAAAAAAATTGAAAGTCAATTATTCCCCCTTGTAATTGTGTTCATTTATATTCAGGCAAATTAATTAATTTTTTTCCTACAACATTTAAAAAAAGACAAACAATGAAGGAAATGCAAAAAAAAAATGAACAAGAATTCTATCTTAAATTCAGTGAAAACACCTAATTTTGATGGAATTTTGAATGTATTAAACCAGAGAGAAATGTGACTGTTTAAAATTTACTTCCTGCTTTTGACTAGAAAAATAATTTGGGAATATTCAAAGAAAATTTGTTTTGCGTGTTTTAACTTTAAAAT